TTTACAATTCAACTTTGTCTTTGTTCTACAATCCATTCACTTCTTTTATATGCCATAACCTTTCATGAGGTGATCGATCATGACTCTCTACAACTTCCTGTCTTTTGTTGCTCTAAGTTTTTTACTCATTACCATCCCTCTTTCTCCTTTTTCTGCCATCCATTCATGCCAATTTGTTGTTGATTATTCACTGATTCTTCCTACTTTTCTTGCTTTCAATGTCCTGTGAGTGTTAAATTCTCTAAGCCCTCTTTCCTCATCATGAAATTTTAACTCTTTGTGATTGTAAGTATACATTTTCTTGTCGTTCCTTAAAGCAATAATGATAGAAATAAATATACCAACAACAGATAGGACAAGCTGTAACTTATGACAGGGGAAAAAAATAGCCACTTTTTTTGGGGGAAGACAGCAGGCAACCTACCTGACCAACTTTAGTGAATAGATGGTGGAACAGATTTTGGGAAGCATGGTAAAAAGGCAAAGTTCATTGAGGGCAACACAAGGTAGGAAGTTATAAAGAGCCAGAGAAGACATAAAGCATGGCGTAATTCATAATGAAAAAAGCCATGCAACACTTTCAGCAGATAAAACTGACTCACTTTCAACACAATTCAACAGAAAGAAAGATGGTTAAGATCACTATTTACATAGTAACATTTACTGGCCTGAATGTCCGAGAAAATTTTCATAGAAAATATGCATCTTCTGATAAATGTTATTAATACTGTTCATTATATAAACAGAGCATTTACTTAAATATTTGTATCTATAAAAAGAACGTACAAACATAAAAAATGACTTAAATAATTGTCGGACTTTGTCCATTACATAATGTATGACGTCATTTGTTTACATTTGGATACGCATTGAGCAGATATGAATGAATGAGAGAAAATCATGGAAAATTGTGTTTAAAAACAGTAAAATCAACCTTGCTATCTGAATGCTCCTCTGTGGCCCGATCAGTTAAGGCATTTCAGGCTATATGATGCTTCCATATAGGATACAGGTTCGAATCCTGTCGGAGGATGAATATTTTCTGTGAAAATTTCTCGGACATTCAGGCCAGTAAATGTTATTAATACTGTTTATTATAAACAGAGCATTTACTTAAATATTTGTATCTATAAAAAGAACATTTAAACATAAAAAAAGTCTTAAATAATTATTCAAACTATCGTCCTCTTCTTTGCGGCCATATTTAGCTCAATGTTTTGGCCATTGTAGCTTCAGCCTTCTTCAAGTGGTTGGAATGTCGAACTGAACCCTTTATTTCGCTTGCTGGGATAGACTGTTCTAGTTCCATGTGCCATGTCTAATAAAGGGCTCAGTTTGATATTCTAACCACCAGAAGGCCAGAGTGTACAACGGCCGAAATGTTGTGATAAATATGGCAATAAAGATGGACAATAGTCCAGATAATGTAAATAGTGTACATAATACTTCATCTCAGAAATATAGAGATACTGAAGGATGGGATAAATATGGCAACAAAGATGAGGACAATAGTCCAGATAATGTAAATAGTATACATAATACTTTCCAAGATTTACAATGATTTTATCCAAATACAAGTCCTACTATTTAACCCATAGTTGGGGTAGTAGCTTTCCCCAACAGTATTTGCGCATAAGTGAATGTAAAGAAGCCAACTGGAATTCAAACCCTGTTCACCTGAGTCACTGTCCATTATGTCACCTACACACACAGAGAGAAAGAGAGAATGAAGTGTGCATAGCATAGCAGTTATAGGCACGAGAAGTGGGACGGCACGTACAGTTCAAATTTCAGCCAAGTCCATTGCATATGCTTTCACACAAATATCTTTGAAAAGGTATTAATATATTTCTTTTCTTCTCAGCTAAGGATAATAGCAGGGCAGACAGGGCTCTCTAGCCTTGGTTGGCAATCAGTCTAGTACAAGGACATTTCTGAATTCAAAACCATTTGGACAAGGGACTAGACTCTCCACTCTGTAAAAAACCCTACATGATAGAAAAATGACAACAGCAACACTTAGCATAGTGAGGCTGGAGCACTTTACTGCACAGGGGCATCTATAAGGCTAATTAATACATACAGTGTAACCCGGATATAAGAGAAACCCGGATATAAGAGAGATTTTCTCTGGTCCCAAATTAGAGCCTGTGTTAATGTATATAAAATAGACCAAACCCGGATATAAGAGACTTCTTCTCCGGTCCCGACAACTCTCTTATATATATATATATGTGAATATATATATATATATATATAAATTGTTAAGATAAAAAAATCTACATTCACGTACATATAAATATATTTTTTCCTCATGTATCATAGATACAGTGATCAGTATTATGAAACGGAGCTAAGTTTATATTAGTAAATATACATAATATCTAACGTCGATATCACGACTTTGAGATATTATGTATATTCACTAATGTACATAATATGTATGGATTTGTATGACTGATTCATTGTAATATAAACTGAACTGCATCACATTTGATTTAAAAGAACTGATCCGACGTACAAATTTTCGGGATAACACCCGAGACCTTAATCTATTTATTGAACAATTTAGTTCATGACACATTGACTGATAAACTCCTACGACAATATATATATATATATATATATATATATATATACACACATACATACATACATATTGAGAGAGATTAACATATTTTCACTTGGAAGCTTTTTTTCTGTGACTTTTGGAAAATTGTGCTGGAGACTACAAAACTGAGGTAATGGTAATATTTACCATTTACTTATAAGGAAACATTGGCATTCATAGACCAAGCAGTCACTGCTGCTGCTTTACATTCATAAAATTTTTCTTTTGAAACAGTTTTTCAGGAAGAAAGGTTTCTCTAGTCCAGTAATTGTTATTGATCCTTCCAGTGTTCATGAGGGTTTCCTTCCTAACATTTTATTTGAAGTAGTGTGGAATGTCAATACATTGATGTGTATGTTAGTTGAATCCGACAAAATAATTAAATGAGGAGCACCATCTGTGAGAAAAAGAGCACTATGATGTAATTCACTCTGCCAGAAATTTGGAAATGCCATGCTGTACTGCTTGGCATTCGCACTGGAAGCTCCAATGCAAACATTTCAGTGTCTTTAGGTGTCAATCTGAGAAGAGTGCAAAGGATTCAGAAAGATGTTTTGGAGTGATCACTAGTGATAGTGATGTTATGCCTTCATTCATCTTCCTACAGGGCCTCAAGACAACACGGAGGCCTACATCAAGTGCCTTGAGGAGGTAGTGCTGCCCTGGGTCAAGAGGCTGGCTACTGGATGACCAATGTCTGGTAAAAGGACTCTGCACTATGCCACAAGCAGAAGAACCCAGTCATTGCTGCCAGATAATTTCTGTGACCACATCACCCCCCTTACATCTGGCCACCTAACTCTCCAGACTACAACCCCCTTGGTTATTATATGTGGGGGTGCAGTTGAATGAGAGACCAACAAAACTTTTTGTAACACCAAAGATGAATCAAGGATTATGGCAACATTCACCAACTTAAACAAGGAGACCGTCCAGAAGAGTTTCAAGAGATTCTGAAGTCGTCTTAAGTTTGTGGTTTAAGCCAATGGGGATTTTAATGAATAAATTTACTCTTTAGTATTTCAAGATATTTTTCTGTAATTTTGGTAAATATATTTGTTAAAATGAGATGTCAGTGTTATTTTCGTTTTTGAATAATTTAGATGGCAATTTATGGCAAGTTAAAATGAGATATCAGTGTTATTTTCCTATTTGCCTAATTTAGATGACAATTTGCCTATCGCTCACTCACTCTATCTATATACATACACACACACATACATACACACATATATATATATATATATATATATATATATATATGAGTGACATAGAAAGTATTCATGTTTCAGTAAAGTATTTTAAATCAATGGTTTAAAGTAAATTGAAAAAAAAAGCTCAGGAAAAAATTTCAAATAAGCACTTAAAATTTTTTACATAGTAAACATTTAGGAAAATGTAATTACTAAAAAACAATATTAAATGAAATATATAAAAAATATATTAAAAGAAAGTATAAAAAAGTAATCAAAGAACAAAAGAAATAGCTATAATGAAACTTTGGAAACGAATAGACATGTCGTGGAAACATTAAGAGAAAATAAAAGTTTCCAATAAGATATTCAAATCTAAAGAAAAAAAGACACATGCTACATCTTTGGACAATAGTAAATAAAAAGAATAAAATTAAGATCTGTATAAAAGTGAAAATATTAAATTAACGGACAATTAAATCATATTAAAAAAATATTTTAAATCTGTAACAGGAATGAATAAACAAATCTACTTAAAAGGAAATCCTAGTTAACTACATTTGCAGAATAAATACTCAATCTGAAAAGAAACAAAAATTCTAAGACCTCGAAACTGAAAATTACTATCGTTCGCAATGTAGAACTGGTCGGTGTCTTTTAAAGAAATCGAATTCATTTATAAAATAATGGTTTGCATAGCTTGCAGACTTTGTCAAGTAGACATTATTTGCAAAAAAGAAATCGATGGTACTTCGAAGTGAAGTGAAATACAGAGAAAAAAATGAAAATAGTGGACATAAAATAACAGAATGAAACTTAAAAAATATATATATATAAAAATGTTATCACGGGTGAATGGTTTGATGAGGATACTACTACTACTAATAATGATAATTATAATAAAGAAAAGACTGAAAGGAAAGGAGAGAAAAGAAGGATAAATAAACGAAAAGGAAAGAGCAGAAAAGAGGTGGGAGCAAAAAGATGTGGAAGTAAAAAACATGAAGAAAGAAAGAAGTGGAAGCAGAAAGATGTAAAACCAAAGATGTGTGGGCAAAAAAGATGTAGAAACAAAGATGTGGGAGCAAAAAAGATGTAGAAACAAAGAGGTGGGAGCAAAAAAGATGTAGAAACAAAGAGGTGGGAGCAAAAAAGATGTAGAAACAAAGAGGTGGGAGCAAAAAAGATGTAGAAACAAAGAGAAAAAAATGTAAAAATGAGGGGGCAAAAATTTAGAAAGGAAGAGAGAGCAAATGATGTAGAAAGGGGGGCAAAAAAGATGCAGAAACGAAAGAAGAGGGGGCAGAAAAGATGCAGAAACAGGGGGGGGACAAAAAAGAAGCGGAAAGGGGGGGGAAGATGTGGAAACGAAGGAGGGGGGGAAGATGTATAAACGGGGGGTGAAACGAAGAGGGCAAAAAAGATGCAGAAATGAAGAGACGGGCAAAAAAGATGTTGAAACATACAGGCGGGGGAAGATGTAGAAACGTAGAGGCGGGGGGAAGATGTAGAAACGTAGAGGCGGGGGAAGATGTAGAAACGTAGAGGCGGGGGGGAAGATGTAAAACGTAGAGGCGGGGGGAGATGTGAAACGTAACGTAGGGGGGAAGATGTAGAAACGTAGAGGCGGAAGGGGGGAAAGATGTAGAAACGTAGAGGCGGGGGGGGGGAAAGATGTAGAAACGTAGAAGGCGGGGTGGGGGGAAATGAAAAACGAAGAGGCGGGGTGAGGGGTATGTAGAAACGAAGAAGTGGGAAAGACTTAAAAGCAAAAAACAAGTAAAAGATGAAAAATAAATGATGACAAAAAAAAACCAAAACCCAGAAATGAAAGAAAATGAATTAAAGAAGAAAATAATAGTAAGAGCGACGATCTCAATAATAGAAAAGCAATAATTATGATAAAAAATGAAAAAGACATAAGGAGAGGCAAATCATCATAAAACACCTCAACTGTGTTGCAGTGGTTAACAAAGTGGTTGAGCCAATGATTGGTGTCGTCATCAATGCCCAGTGTAATGCATGAAGCCAATAATTAGGAGCATGGGTTACACAAAGCCATGCATGCAGAATGTCAAAAAAAGAGAAAGAAAATATTTAATCAGAATCTGAGGCTCTGGAGAAATCAAGATGGGAAACAATGCAACAATAAAAGGGTTATTGTTAATAATAATAAAGTGTCCACACAAAAGAGACGGTGTATCAGAGTACCTTCACTGAAGAAAAGTACGGAATGTGCAATGGATAGTGGCTCGGAATGAAAAATCCACAAATTCCAGTTGGGTTTGTTACATTCAGTTCCATGCAAATACACTTTGGAAAACAATGGATCCATTTTCTCCCCCAGCTATGGATTAAATAATAGAACTTGTAACTGGAAAAATAATTCTTATACTCCAAAATTTTTTAATACAATAGTCATTTAAGAAAAAAAAAATTAATATTTTTATAATCCGCAACAATTTGATAAACTGTAAACAATAAGGTAAAGAGTGGACATGAATATACATATATCTAATCTTAACCTTAGAACACTAAGCATGGGTATATAGTACCCAGCACAAATTTTCCTATTTTTAATTACAATTTTCAGTATTTGATTTTCTTATCTAAATAATGTTTTTCAGTTCCAATTAATGTCAACCCAAAGTACAAAGTTTGAAATGCCTGCATGTAAAATATTTCAAATAAAGATTGATATTTAATATTTTTTTTTTATACCCATGGTTAGTAGTGGTGTAACTTTAATTGACGGTTAGTGTTCTAGGGTTAATTGATTGCAGGTGTTCATATGTCTATGTTCTGTCTTGATGAATTAAAATGAACTACAGTAAATATCCCGTTCAATACTGGAGAATTGCTTCTCAGTTGTCTGACCAAAACCTGTTGTACATCTGTATTTTCTTTTTAATCAATTCACTCTAAGCAAGGTGATAATGCCACTAAGACGCAAGAGGCTACTAGGAGTAAAAGAGAATGAGAAGACTTTAGAAAGGTCTGGAAACCCAATGCAATACAAGAAACAAGAGAGAAACCTAGATTCCAGTTCATGAACACAAAGAAATTGAAACCAAAACAGAAATCTGAATATAAATAGGAAAGAAAAAAGGAGGCTGTGGTGAACGGTGAACATACAAATTTTTAATTTATTGTATTTCCAACTAAAGAATAAACATACTTTTCATATAATTAACTGTACACAGATGCATAATAACTAAATATGCATAAAAAAAACAGTAAAAAAATGATTTAATTGAAATAAATCCCATTTATCCATGTTAATGGTTGTAAAAAGAATTCATAGAATACAAAAAGAATACATAATCTTCATTTAATACTTTGTAGAATAGCCATTATTCACTTTTACAGCAACCAACCTCTTCTTGTAGTTCTCAATGATTTGCGAATTTTAGTTGCTATTTTGTTCCATTCTTCTTCGCATTTGGTCTTCAGATCTGGGATGTTTGTTGGAGATCTCGATTGGATTTAAATTTTTAAATAACACCACAGATTTAATTATACATACACACACACATATATATATATATATATATATATATATATATATATGTGTCCTTTGTTCCACAAAAGGTCTAATAAAGTTTAATAAGAAAATGAAAAAAAAAGATATTGGTGCAGACAATGCCTTTATTATAGAACTTATATAGTGGGGAGACACAAATGTTTGTACACATACAAATTTTTAATTTATTGTATTTCCAACTAATAAATAAACATACTTTTCATATATTTAACTGTACACAGATGCATAATAACTAAATATGCATAGAAAACAGAAAAAGAAATTTGATTTAATAGAAATAAATTCATCATTTAATCAAGCTACCACCAGCAATTATGTCACTACATCTCCCAGAAACGCAAGATTTTTTTTACCACCAGTAACCTTGTGCTTCTTCAATACATTGTTTCCTTCCTGAGATTTCCCGCCTTTCCTTCTCTCCCCTTTACTTGAGATCTTGATGTCTTTGTTTCTCTTGGGGTTCTCAATCTGGCTCGTCCTATGTTCTAGTCTACTTCAATTGAATCGTAGGGGCCATGTTTCGTTGTTGATCTGCATGATCCCAACCGGCCATGCCTATGAAAAGCTCTTCATGATTCCCCTTCTCATAAACTACTCATGGCCTTATTTGATCTGCATGGGCTACAATACTGCCCTCCTATACTCCCAACTATGTATAATAGTAGGGTAGACTGAGTTATGTCACCTTTATAGGGCAACTAGAGTAAGACAACGTCAAAACCATGAAGGAAAAAACACTCCACTATGTTTACCAAGAATATTCATGTAAGCTTAAAGATCTTTTTTTTTTTTTAAAGGAAGCTGTGGAGAGCCATGATCGAGTATTTTATAACCAGTAGGGATATAACCGTATATTTTAATTCATGGGAGGATCAAAATTTATATATATATATATATATATATATATATATATATATATATATATATATATATATATATACTGTGTGTGTATTTCCTGAAATTAAAAACAAACATCAACCTAAGAACAGTATTTCACTATATTGTGTGAATATTGTTTATACACTATAGACTTCTCATCCTAAGCCAGTTATTCATTTCACTGTTTAATAAAATAAAAGGCAGGCATAGTAACTCAAACATGCGTATCCACTAAAAATAACTTTTATATTAATAAGAAATAATGTCGGAGAAAAAAAAAATCCATTAAAAAAATTACGTTTCGGGGAGGAAATTCAAGCTAGCAGATAGAGATTTAGAGAAGTCCCTAGGAGAGATTCGCGTTCCTTAATTAGGTAAATTAAACATTGCTTTATCAAAATGGTCTCCCATGGCTAAATTGGTAACAGTCCGCTTCAGCATTAGGAGGATATCTCAATGTAAGCCAGTTGTTTTTTTTTTAGTTTCACTGTTTAAGAAAAATGAAAACAAACAAGAAAAACAACTCAAACATTTGAACCCAGTAAAAATAACAATTAAGAAATGACTACAAAAATAAATTTCTTACATTTTCTTATTTTGTCAGGATTTTTCGAAGTAGGTCGTTCTAGGAACTATTTAGTTCCATTATATATATATATATATATATATATATATATGTAATATGTATGGTGTAATGGTTAGTAAGCTTGTCTTTATAGAACAGTTGAAACTGAGTAGTGAGTTCGATCCTCACTGGGTACCCCATATTTCAGCCTTATGCCATATCTAAGCTATGTTTAGAAAATAAATATATATATATATATATATATATATATATATAGGAATGGGTAGGAAAAAATGTACACACAAATACTTGCACATATGTAACTATATTTCTTCTACAGGTGTTATAAATACAGTGCTCAATGTTATGAAACAGAGCTATATATATATATATATATATATATATATATTCATGAATATTCATAATATTAATATGTGCAAATAACACAATAAAAGGAAAAGCAGTTCTTGCAACCTTCAGGCGTGAGTTCTCACCTGAAGATTTCATTAACTACATGAAACTTTCCTTCTTCACTCGATGTTGATATATATATAATATATATATTATCATTTATATATTATATGTAAAGTATAATAGAAAGCACTTAATATCAGAATTTAGAGCTAACATATTTGGTTGGATTGATTTAAGTTTGTGGTGGGTTATCATTCACTATTGTCAGACAAACTTTCTCTCTCTCTTTGGATATATATATATATATATATATATATATATATATATATATATATATATAGATATATATTCCATTGCTGTTGAACAAAAAATTATTGTATAGTAAAATCAAGGCTATTCATTTGACTGTTTAATAAAATAAAAGACAAGGATAGTAAATCAAACTCGTGTAGCAACTAAAAATAATGTTGAGAGTAATAAGAATGGCGGATAAAAAAATCCTTTCCCCTATGAATAGTCAATAAATCAGTAAATGCTCAAATGACTTATCTTACAACCAACTCCCGAGTTTTGCAGTTACACCACTCATCAGTGTCAACTGCTGTGGTGTACAATTGGGCACTTTCTTGATAAAATTCTGGTTGATATTCAAATCTTGTAATTTTTATGTATTTTATTTGTATTCTCTCCCCACCTCCCTCTCTTTTATATATATATATATATATATATATATAAAACCTCATCCCCCAGGCCAAAGGAAACCGTCATTAGATCCGACTTGTTTTAGATCACTCAGCCAGGAAATGTGTCGATGATTAAGCAAAGTTAAATAGGGCCTTTAAATGCAAATCTTTCCTTGACACTAGTTTAATTGATTTAAAATATTGTTTTTATCGCATAAATTAATTGATTTAAAATATATGAGAAATGGTAAGAAATCTAAACAGTCAATTGCTGATACTCCCTAATCAGTCTGCAGAGTGATTGTTGAAGGGGCCATCTACAAAACACTGGAGTCAGGATGCTGAAGGTAACATCAATCATCTAACTTTTATATTATATATATATATATATATATATATATGTGTGTGTGTGTGTGTGTGTAATGCGTGCGTGCATGCCCATATATTATAAATTAGTTCTGTGAACAAAAACTTTTGGTATAAAATGTACTGAATCAAAATAAAAAAATGTTTTTCTGTGCAAAAGAAAGTGGATCATTGTCTGTAGCTGAATTTTAATCCGAAATTTTCAATACCTTATATCTGATCGATTCAGCTGGATTGCACTGATTGAAATGAATTGACGTGACCATATAAAAAAAAACAAATATTTATGGTGTAAAAGAAACACTTTCTTTTCTTTTGTCCACCCCACCCAAAATCACTAGGTTACAAACTTACTGATGTAACCACGTAGATATGTTTTTTTATATTTATATTCACTATAAACATGCACATGCTGAAAAGTTCTCGATTAGATCAAAAAGCTCTTACAGCTAAAAATTCTGATGTGTGAC